TGACAGGGTATTTTGTAATGTTAGCAGAGTGTAGCATACCACATTTGCATTGGGTAGCACAATTGTCACAGCAAAGGTGGGGTTGTTCTGGATAGAGGGACACAGACTCAAAGTGATTCAGAAGGGTTTTTCTTCAGCACTCTCCAGTCTTAATGAAAGACTTCATAAGGGCATCAATATGGTTTAACATGACTCCATGGTATAAAACATATGCAACAATTTGGTGGCCATCCCTTCCTGCCCTACCAGTTTCCTGAACGTCGGACTCAACATTCTTGGAGGGTCCAAAATGTATGACTCTATGAACACCTCGACAGTCAATGCCCATTCCAAAGGCTATTGTTGCTATAAGTAGCCGGATGGTACCACTGGCAGACTGAAAGGACTCCAAAATGTTATGCTTATTGGCTTCAGGAGTGCAGGAATGCAACATTTCAACAAGCACATGTTTTGAATCATTTCCAATGAACATATATTCTCCTAAGAGAGCTTTAATGGTAGCATAAAGTAAACCACACTGTCTTATAGTCTGGCAATAAATAATAGTTCTTTCTGTTTTCTCCTGACTCTGTTTCAGTTCATCAGTAAGCCAGCCAAAATAGAATTCCAGTTCCATGTCCTTATCCATATACTGCACAACATAAGCAACATTTAATTTATTTGGACTTTCCTTAATTTCTACTGCATTTTTCATGTTCAGAAGGTTGAAAACTGTGTCTCTGGTCAGTTTTGTCGCAGTTGCAGTCAAGGCTACCACTGGCACGTTTGGTGCAAGTGACCTTAGTTCATACAGCTTTGAGTAAGACTCACGGAATGCTGCCATTTTATTATCTTGTGATGTTCCCCTACACATCAAAAGGAAAATAGCATTAATCTATAATGAAATTTCTAATAATACAACAATGAAAACTTTATTAATTTTAATAATAATAATGATGTCCTTCAGTGCTAAGGAACATGCAGAAAGCTGCAGTCTCTAGCTCCCTTCACATTGCCAGGACTTTCAAGGTCCTATTGGACTTAGCGCTTAGTTCTTCAAATGACGTTAGCTTCAAGCCAAGGTTTTTAATAGGTTGAAACATTAATTATGGATTCCACTTCTTTGTATTTCACGACAAAACTTTAAAAAGAAAGTCTACTAGTCTAAATGCATAATTAATGTATGAGGTTATATGGTACTCTTGCCAACACTTACCACTGTCTTACAACATGCGCTTCATCCACGGCAATGGCACAGAGTTTTTTGGAATACACAGAGTTCGTCAGCATAAATCTCCAACGTTCGTTTTTCAACCACGCTTCAGGGGATCCGTAAACTAAGGGATTCGCCGCTTTCAACACGAGTGCGTTCACCATTCTCAAGTGAACTTATGTTAGCTGCTTTTAGCCCTANCATTTCTTGCCAACACTTACCACTGTCTTACAACATGCGCTTCATCCACGGCAATGGCACAGAGTTTTTTGGAATACACAGAGTTCGTCAGCATAAATCTCCAACGTTCGTTCTTCAACCACGCTTCAGGGGATCCGTAAACTAAGGGATATTCGCCGCTTTCAACACGAGTGCGTTCACCATTCTCAAGTGAACTTATGTTAGGTGCTTTTAGCCCTAGCTCCTTCAAGTGGGACACTTGGTCGTTCATAAGGCTTACCAATGGTGAGACAACGACGACGATATGACCAGGCTCTTGCGAGGTAAGATCAAACACGAGTGGTAGTGCTTGATACAGGAGAGATTTCCCGAAACCAGTTAGAAGATTGACAAATACATCCTTTCTTTCCTCAACTATTTTCCTAATTCCAGTTTTTTGCTGCGTATTTAAGCTAGGAATTCGAAATGTATTGCTAACAATATCAAACGCCTCTTCAAAGGACGCCATTTTGAATGCGTTGAACTCCAAAATGAAACAAACAATATGATTCGTTAGACTATCTTGGCGCGTACGGTTCTCAACATATGTAACCCGAATGGTGATTGGTTGAATAGCGGAAAGGAATGTTGTTCGAATGTGTGCAGCCGTTTGTGGGGAGGAGCGTTGCGTGACGAGACTAAAAACGGCTGCGAGGGAGACTAGTGCAGGGGTGTCTCACCAAGCAATTTTAATAGATATTATACAGGTTAGAAAAAAAATCAAGTAGACTGACAGTGAAAAATGTTAATGAAATGGAACTGACAGAAGGAAGAGAAAAAAGGAGGTCTTGTAAGCATCTGTTTTATCACATTTTCAATCAAAAAAGTGTTCAAAATACAATCACCAGTGTTACTGATTGATAACATTAATCTGGTGGGTAGTTAATCCTTTAACTCCCAAAGTGATGAACATGTAGCTTCTCCCTATAATATCCATACATTATCCAGCAAAAGGGTAACAAGAATACTCTAACTTATCAGATAGAATTTGTTATCTCGACCCAACACCAAATTCTCCTGGCAAAGTTACAAGGAAATGTGTGGCAGCTATAGGGGAGAATCGGCAATCAAAGCTTGGGAGTGAGAGGGTCAAGAAGGTAATTTTGGCAGATACTGTTAGTTTACACGGCAAACAATTTGAATCAATTTGGGTCGGACAAAAAAATCTACCATACAAACTTGTCTCTGAGCTTTATTCCCAGCTGTTAGTTTATCCACTGAAGGCAGACAGGGAAGCAGCCACATGCAGGAAAGGATCTCCCAGTATTGCTTAGCTGCATGAGTCTTTGCTTAGCTATGCAAGTCATTGCATATGTATCATTTACTTGACTTATTTGATTCACTAGTTCCCAAACACTCCAGTTCCAACATCAAGCTGGCAGCCTTAAGTGTACCCACTCCTTTGCAATGTCTCACTCAATTTGAAATATTTGTTGATTGGATGAAATAAAAGTGGTCCCACATTTCAAGAGGAGTTGACAGAAAGAGATAGAAATTGGTAACTTGAGCAAGACTCAACACTAAATTTTCAACTTACTAGCCAAGTGGCTAGTGACATCTTAGATTTTACCACAATTTCAGTTTATTTACTAGCCAACTTGGCTAGTGGAAATTGAAAACCACTAGCCAAAAGCCGAATTTCTTACATTTGTGGCTAGTGAGCTACTGTTAGTGTCGAGCCCTGTTGAGTAAAACTCCCAATGTCTACTTGATGAGTCATTTGATTTTTTTTCACCATGAAATTGTTGAATTCACTGTTTTGTTTACATCTCTGTGTGAATGTTCCTTAACTTCCATAATTTGTTTCTAACAATGTTGTTTCATAAATAGTTCACAACAGACCAGTCTCTCTAAGAAAATGGAGAAATGCACTTTACAAGACTGGTCATGGATGTCACTCTTCATTGTCACTATTATCACTTGACTGTGATTCAACATAGTATGTTGTTTTCTGATGATTGGGATTAACAAACAGATCATCATCATCTTCATCATCATAGTCCTCATCTCTGTCCTCTTCATCCTCACTAACACCATTAATATTCTTTTCACAGACATTGCTATAAACATAACACAAGAAAAAGGTGTATTAACTGTGACGAAACAGTATAAACTGTAGACATTTTTTATACTTAAAAGCAGAATGGTAAGTTATGGCTCATGGATATATCCTAATGGGCTTTGCCATTTAATTTCAGATATAAGTTTAACATAACAGTGCTCTTGGCATTCACTAATTAACAAGTTTGGAAGTGATTAGCAAGAACAATTCTCCTTTCAGCAGCCAAAGAAACGAAACAAAATTGCACATCAAGAGTTTAATTTCCGACCAGATTATGTCGTAATTAAACTTAAATGTTTGGTTACTGTTTGGTCCATACTAATTTCAAACAACTATTCAACTCTGTATCAGCAAAAGTGCTGGATAATCACCTCCATATCATGAATAATTGTTCATTATAAGCTGAGCCCTACTTGTCTCCTGGTTATAGATAATTGATCACGGAAAAACTGGCCAGTCTACAGTTGTAACATCCATCAAACAAACAAGGCTTGACTCTCATAAAAACTTTGACTCAAGGTTGTCAAAACATTACTCACGGCCACCCACAACTTGAAAGTCCCCTTCAGAACTACCTTCACCTTTATAATTACTATGCACATTTGATTTGTCTTGTAAGTTTTGTCTATTTACTGTCTTATGAATCCTGTTACAACTGTAAGGCAAATTGATGAAAAGTATCACAATATTCCATCTTCATACTTTGGTCCTTGTGGTACAAACAGTCAGACACCACAACCAACAAATTAAGTTTACACTGAATATGTTTTTCTCTTTACACCAACACTCTGGACAAAAGGAATAGAGTCATGAATTATGTTTAAGGGATTAAAAGATCTATACCTGTTTATTTGCTTGTCATCTGCTTTTTCATCAGTTGAAGCTTTGTCTGCAAACGCTAAAGGCCTTGAAGTTAAAGTCAAATGTAAATATGGTAAATAAAATTTCAACTCTGCTCACAAAAACATGTTGTTTTGTGTATTCAAGTCATCCTTCTAAAGCATGAAACCCTATGCGCCAATATTGAATAATAGTGTTAACCCTATGAATCCCAAGTGACCAGAAAGAAAGAAATTTCAAATAGAAAGGTGATGAGAAGGTAGTAAAATATCAACAAGAAGATAGCTATTGCCATAATCTAAAAGCTAGAATTATACAAAGTGTAGAGCGATCAATGAGGTAAATTTATCTTTTAACACCTAGTTAAAAGTGAATAAAGGCCGATAGTTTCGAAAGAAAGTGTTTGGGGCTGCGTCGGTGGGAGTAACGAAATAATTTGGATTATATCAACAAAGTTGAAATGGTAAATTGGCCACCATAACGATTACAAAAGCTGACGTTTCGAGCGTTAGCCCCTCGTCGGAGCGAATTAAATAATTAAAAGTGAAATGGTTGAATCCCACATATTAATGACATGACAACAAAATACAAAAAACATAACTTACCACAATCCTTCATTTTTCAGATATTTAATTTGCTTGCCATACAGAATGTGAACCATCTCGGCACACACTTTGTTCCCCTCTTCTATGGGGTCCACAATAACAAAATCTCCTAGAAAAATTGAGAACAATATTTCAAAAACTTGCACTAGAACCCTTGCATCTGATGAAACAAATGTCAAAATGATGGTGACAATGATAATGTACATTGCTCCATCCAAGCTGCTACTGCAGACTGTTAGGAAAAATGAGCTAACTGTGCTATCATTTCCACCAAAGCAATATGTAATATCTAACTATTCCATTTCCCTTCCCATTTTTAATGTTATTTAAAGATGTTCTTCTTCCTTACAAAGCCTATCTTAGTCTATTCAGGTAAAAAGGATGAAGATCACTCATTTGGTGTTAGAGAGAGGAAAAAGAAGTGTTTTTTTCATGTGACAGATATTAGTCAAACTTTGAGAAATTAAGCTATCATATGCCTATGAACAAATTATCTCAACTTGTTTTTAAATTGTAATTTTAAAGAATAACAGGCAAATTCATATTTTTTAAGGGTAGCAAGGATGGTGCAGTGGTGACAGCTAAAGCACCACTAAAATTTAATTCATTCATTTATCTTAATTCATTAATTAATCAAAATGAGAACTGCATATATACCTAAATCAAGCCATGAAAAACCTATGATGTGATTTAACCTTTTCTATCCCAGAAGTGACTAACAAAGAATATATCCTTCCAATATCAGTACACTTTTAAGCAGAAAGCTAATAAGACAGAACAATGTAAATAAGAGGATAAAGTTTGATTCAATGCCATATTCTCAAAGTTAAAGTTATCGGAAATCATACAGACAATGTGAAGAATCAATATTGACATCCTCTGGCAGAAAAAGCTACAACCATACCTCTCTTAATCCATACACTCTTTCTGAATTTTGATGGCATACTGACAAGAAATTTTTTGCCATCAGAAGTTTCCACTTCATGAAGGTTGTTTCCACGTCCGCCTAAAATCTGTCCCAGAGGAAATAGTATCAATTTATTAGTTTAACCTGTAACAATTTTCATCTTCAGAATTATGTTCTTCTGATATCTGGTTGGGTATCTCTGTGCTAAAAAGAATTCAAAAGCACAGTGAAAGGTTATAAAGAATGTGTCTGGATCTGGATAGAGGCATATTTTCCCTTGTTTTGCAGTTTATACTAACCACATGAAACAAACGAGAATAGCTCTTTTCACAGCAGATATACTTGGCACGTACCAAATCCTATTAAGACCCTGAAAACAGCTTAACCTTATCCTCAACCCCCCCTCCCCCTATCATCTCAATTCACTTTCCACTAAGGGAGGAGGAAAAAGCACATAAAACTTCTTAACCCCCCCCTCCCCAACCACCTCTCTTCCCTATCAAAATTAATTGCTTTAAACTTGTTTATAGGAAATTCCATTTCTTTCTATTGCACTATTGAAGACCACCTTTCAACAGTGTCATTACTTCCCTCTGGACCTTTGGATGGATGGATGGCTTAGATGACCACTCCCCATGGGGCTTTAAAGGGCCATTCTTACAACACTGTGCGGGGGACTTTGCCAGACTGCTAGTAGCAGTTTACAAGGATTCAAAGGAAGTTGAAGATGCCCCCTCCCCCCAGGCAACTCCCAGTAAACAGGCCAGACCACATCACAGTAATCTCGTGATGTGGGCTCTTTAACGTCCCCTCCTGAAATTAACTAACTGATAGATGCAGGAGACGGGCCCTCCAGCTTTACGTCCTACCCGAGAAGACGAAGCAATGTGGGTGAAGCGTCTTGCTTAAGGGCACAACGTCAAACCCCAGCCAGGACTTGAACCCCGGGCCATCTGACCCAGAGTCCAGAGCACTGACCACTGGACTACTCACGCCTCTTCAGTTCAAAATTTGTTGCATCCCTTCGATTCAAAATTTGTTTCATCTTCATTAAGCAAATATTCTGACAGGCTCTGTGCCAAATAAAAGGGTGCCTTGTCATTGAGTAGGGACAGAAAGGGGGGTGTTCAAATAAAATATGGAATGTCTAAAATTTTACACTCTTCCGGTTCCACTCGCTCCCACTGGGGAAAAATTATTTTGACTTACTTAGGTCTGACATTTCTTCTTTGACCGTTTCTTAGAATTAGATTTGTGAGATATAAGAGAGGTTTTTCCTAGTCACCAACTGACTTACAATCACCTCTGGAATGAACTATGCCTTACATTTTTTAATTAAATTTTGATCTCTTTGCGGAGCAAAGGAGTAACAAAAAATATTTATTCTATAAAGAATTAAGACTCACTCGTCCCATACGATCTCCTACCTTAACAATCTGTTGATTTGGGTCTGGAACAACGTAATCGTCCAGTACTTCTTTCGCAACATGCTTTCTCTTAGTCGCTTTCGACATGATTTAACAAAGATCGCGTACGACAAAGCGTGTTTGCGATCCGCTACTCGAATGGGCTTCTATGCCCAATACTCAAGACCTCTGCATAATCAAAGAGCCACGGTCATCATTTTCTATCTTACAACAAGTAAATCTGAAATATTCTGTAAAAAATATTCAATGCACATGCATCCACGTTTGGAAGCCATTTTGTTCTTACTAGTTCTCATGACTCACTCGGTCAAAGTAAGGGGGATTCGTTCTGCACAGGCTAGGCCTGGGTTCAGCAGGTGTCGACTGGGTGTCGGACTAGGAATCCGACCATCGCTCGTTACCCGATACACTACAGAAACGCAACGAAGACTTGAACTTTAACTAACCTTTTTAAGGCTTTATCAACTGAAATTGCCGAGAATGATGCAAAATGTGAGCCCATGACCAAATTGACTGTTTTAAGAAAAAAAAGGCAGAATAAAAGCTGGATGAGGTTTACCACCCGCATGGATCTAAGGTCGAAAAAGATGTTAGATGGCTGGGGACGAGGAATGGTTTCTAATTGAGGTTAATAATCAAAGTCTGGCGACGGAAAATAATGTCTAATGACAAAAAATGATGTCTTATGACAGAGATTGATGTCTAATGACAGAGAATGATGCGCAATGAATGTGAATCATCATCATCATCATCATCATTATCATTTTTAGCTATAACGTAAAAATAAAGCTACAGTATAAGGCGGGAAAACCTCAAGAAACCATCGGGCCTATGATAGAGACCATTTCACTTACAACAATGTATTTAAAATAGATTAGTGCTATGGATGTGTGGCTTGGCCATTTCAGTGATTATGTAAATAAAAACTCTCGCATTTCCGTCTTGAAGCCAAGAAGACCTGATGAACGAGCGACTGATCCGGCTGATACAAGTAGAGAGTTCAAAATTTTTAAGACCTCTTCTCTACATGTAGTGTCAAATGACTGAAAGTAACGCCTATGAATCTATCGTATCGTTTCAGGTGAAGACACAAATAAAGTTAGCGCGGCACTTAGAATTCTAGTTTCCACGATTCCATCGTTGGTACTCTCGGTTGGGGATAAATAACCAAAGGGAAAGGGGAGGGGAATAACACACCTTCACTTTTATGAAGGTGTTCGAAGAATAATACGAGGGTGCGACCTTAACAGTCGACATAACAAGAGGAGATATTTATGGTTTCGTGGTCAGCTCCTCTGTTGCTCGGGGAGTGGATATTCAAATTGAAACCAGTAAAGGAACATTCTTAAAACATCTCAGTTAACGGTTGGAGTTTTTCAAACCTAAATCAAGACTTTTAGCCTGGTGACTAGTTTCATTCTCCATTGTATTCGTGTCGAACTTAAGAGATTGATCGATATATCAGTTCTTTTATTTTTCTGATAACGTATTAACTTTCTTGCGTTTTCAATATCCTTTTGCTAGATATTCGAACAGTTACTTGGAAATTGAAAGATAAAAGGTGAGTTCTTTTTAGCAAGCATTCTTCTATTTTGTCAAGGGAGAATAAGTCCGATCGTTTGTGTGTGTGTGTGTGTGTGTGTGTGTGTGTGTTTTTTTCTTTTTTTTTTTTTTTAACAGGGGTGATTCTCGACTTAGTTCGACGCATTCGAAGATAATTTTCGCTTCACTTTGGACACTGACAATTTTAATTTTGGCTTTCTTTTTCAGACGCAAAGAGGGCAATTCATTACCATAATTGCCCACCAGTTTCACACCTTTAAAGAATTGTTTTCCGTGAAAGTGTCTCTATCCAATCATAAAATGTATATCAGCAAACACCATTTTTCTCACAATTGCTGAGAAACGTTTATCTAATGAGATTCACATGGTAATCTAAACAGAACCAAGGGTTTGACCCTTGTTCCGGTTTCTGTTTCGACACGTTATTTCGAATTGAGTTTCATTCAAATCGGAGAACCAATATCACTCCGACCAGTAGTTTCCAGTCTGATGCAAAGGCGGACGAGTGCCAGACATTCAAGGCGATTTTGGACACCAGAGCGAAAGATACGTTTACAGCTGATAATACTAACACTTGGCGAGCCACTTGACGCTGCAGACACTTCGTATTACACTTTAAATAGCATAATGCGACCCACTTGCAGCCAAAATTAACAGATTGACTTTGAAGGATATTTCATGGCAGCTTCACTGATTTCTACGAATACGTCAAGTAAAGAAAACTCGGCAACTGCGTCGATAGGTTCCTACAGTGTCCTCCTTGCCTCATGCGTGGAAATCTTGTTATGTTTATTCGGAACAATCGGGAACTCTCTCACTATCACTGTGATTTGCAAGAGCAAATCACTTCAGGTTGTTTCAAACTTCCTTCTAGCATCCCTCGCCTTCGCCGATCTGCTAGTAAGCGCTGTTCTCGTACCCATGCGTGCATCACAGCATATGGCCATGTATCGCGGAACAACAGTGCCGAAAATGGTGATCGAAATCGCTGGATTTGTTGGTCGTGTGAACATTGTTGCGTCAATATCGAGTCTGGCTGCGATGAGTATCGACCGATACATCGCCTTGTCGCACCCGATATTTTATCTTTCGTCAGTGAAGTTTGCAAAAGGCAAAGTTTCATTAGCGATTGCACTGATATGGACAGTGGCATTGATTGCGACGTTCCTACCCAAATTCCCAGGCGTCACTGACATACCGTTCCTTGCGTTCTTCGTTGGGTTTGTGCTTCTAGTTACTTTAGTCATCGCGGTAACCTACTATAAGATTTTCAAGATTGTCAGCAAGTCTATCATAGAACATCGCGCCAACAGGCATTTCGCGGGCAAAGTTGTCCGTCTTTCGTTTCTAGCAGGGCTTGAACCTAAACTTTGTCGCCACGTCGATAAACGACAGAAAGACAAGGATGCTCTTATTCATAAAGGGGAGCGCAAAGCTGCAGGAACGATTGCTTTTGTGATTGGGGCGTTTATAATTTTGGTGTACCCTCGTATCATTCTCATCTTCTATCACTTTGCCACCCCTGAAACAACTAAGAGCCGAGAAGCCCGTTTTTGGATTCGAATTTTATTGTACAGTAACTCTGTAGTGAATCCTCCGTTATATGCGTGGAGACACAACGAATTTAAGAGAAAATTCAAGAAGTTCTTCTTCAAGTGCTGGCGCTGTTGTCTCTGTCAAAAGTGGAAATTATTAATAATATCCTCGTCAAATAAGACGTCTTCAATGCCTTCTCTTCCACGAAATGAGGAACAAGCCGGAAATGGAGAAAACGGACAAAATAGTATTTCAGTGGAGGAGGTGAATCACAAATTGTAGTAGATTCCATGAAAGCTGTATCAACGGTCACAAAAAGTGTTCGAAAGTGTTTTTTTTGTTTGTAAGATAATGGCAACTTTAAAAACCCTCACCACAAAGGGTTAATCAACCATTTTTAATTTTCCGGCTGTGCAAACAAGAATTCAAATCGTCATGTTGGTAGGATATTTTGCATTCAGGATACTTCACTTTGTCATGTATATTGTTTCAAAGAAAACCGCATCTTCAAGTTTAAATATCCTGTTTCTAACTCAAACACAAGCGCATAATTAACAACTTAGAAATTCACTGTCGATCACATTAACGTTTTCCAGTACTAAGTGGTTCGGTCTTCTCACAATTGGTTTTATTCTAAAACTCCTTTGTTTATTGTACTCTTGTTGGCAAATAGCTGCAAATTTTGTCAATGCAGACACCTGAAATTCATTCTCAAGATCATTCAGTAGTGCAATTTTTTTTTTTCGCGGCAGTGCAAGAATGTTATATCCCTAGTACAAGTGTGGAACTAACTAGAAAGGAAGTTTGAAGCAAGGCTAAGGGAGAAAAAAAGAAAAAGAGGTCGCCGGAAAATAGATATTTATTGAAGAATGCACAGCAACACAAAACAAACCAGAATGTAGCTTACTACGCCAGAAGATATTTGTATAAGAAATGTTACCAAAAAATAGTCTTTACTCATCCGTGAGACGAGTAGTCTGGTGTAGACAATATTATTGAGTTCTGTTCAATGGGCTTTTGATGAAAATTTCGGCCGGTTTTCTGGCTTTGGGTTAATTTGTTTTAAGTCTTGAATAAAAAATTGATACTTTTGAGGTCACAAACGCGGAATTTTTTACTGCGTCAAAAGACAGAATCCAATCAGCTAGTAAAAACTCTCATTAACCAAGCGTGCTCTGGACCGTATTGGGGAAATAACTGAAATGACCGGACTTCGGGCCGATATCCTCGCAGCACGGTCCTTTCACACGGTTTATAAACCACTTTCATAAATGGCTGCCGGATTAATATTCTTTTGGTTACAATGGATATATGAAAGTTCNCGATACTAGTGCAGCGCTCTACCAATTGAGCTAACAAGCCAACTGGGAGCAGGCCGTTAAGTTGATTCGTAATAAACCCGGCTTGTTAGCTCAATTGGTGCATCATTCGTATCAATACCACAGTTCAAAATATACGAACTTTCATATATCCATTGTAACCAAAAGAATATTAATCCGGCAGCCATTTATGAAAGTGGTCTACAACAGATTTCCTTCTGACAAATGCGATTGCGGTGACGAGGGAAGAAACAAAACTACCACCTTGATTTCATAGGAAAACTCCTTACCTGACGAGGGAATTCTGCGAAAACCGATATCGCACGAATCACGAAGCGATGATTGCAATATCACATTTAAAGTGCAATTTGACGCAGAATTTACGAGAATAGCATAGCTGACTAAAAATAAGGATAAAATAAAAACTAAACTGAATGCGAAACAATATCACTTAGCCTTGTTTTCTACTCGCAATTCCACGCTGAATACCTCGCTTCGTTAACCAATCAGAATGCGAGATTTTATTCAATTATGCGATTCTATTAAATAACCAAGGTCCATCTAGAGTAGTGAAGTTCAAATCAATGAGACAACTCATCCCATTTTGACATCCATTTTAGGAGAACCTACTTTGCATCAAACCAAAGCCTTTCTACAAATAATTTATCATTTTGGAACAATAATGCGTATTTCTTATCAACCTCATACCCAGGCTCTCTCTCTCTCTCACATGGGGAATAGTTGAATTCCTAATATGAGTCATAACCTAATGAGTAATAACATTTCATAAAACTGCGGTACACACATATGATTTTCACATATTGAAATTCATTGACTTAGCACTTTGACGGGTTAAACACGAACCAACATAATGAGCAACTCCCGGTTGGCCTGTTAGCTTGGTTGGTAGAGCACTGCACCAGTATCGCAGAGGTCATGGGTTTAAATCCCGTTGGGGTCTGAATTTTTTTCAGGCCTTATTTCCACGACTACATAAGTAGGGTTTACTACTGGGAGGATCTCTTTTATACATATACTTGTGGCTGGTTTACAAAAACTTTTATTACACAATCTGGATGAGCAACTGCATACCAACCCCTCCCCTAACTCACAACAGTCAACCAAGAACAATTCAGGATTAATGTTGGGTTAGGGGAGGGACGGGTAGGGGTGCAGTTGCTCAGATATTGACAACAATCCAACAATTTTAAAACAGAACTGGGATATTGTAGTTATGATACAGAAATTCTTCTGTGTATGTAGACTTTGTGCCATCTCCTTTGCAACTTCCTTAATAGCCCATTCCTGACAGTTAGTAAAAAGGATGAGTTGTAAATGCAAAGAGATGGAAAATGAAAAAATGTAAAGAGGAAGCAGGATATAGAAAAACAGAGATCATTCTTCCCTACTATTGTTTTCCTTTTCATTTTGCATGGGTACCGCCATGGCAATTTATACAAGCTGAAGAACTGGAAAAGTTAAATTCCAAGAAAAGCCAAGTCTGTCTCTTTAGTAGTTTCTTGTGCAATTTACTTCATATAGTCCACAGGTGCATTTCTCAGCTCGCACAAGATATTTCCCAAACAATTGCATGACTAGTCACAAGGGTCCTCAATGAAAGGTGCGTGTTACGTATCTGTATCTCTTCCAGGAACCACTTCAATGCCCATACCCCTAGCTGATGCAATGACTGATCTACACACACTTCTCATTGGTACATTCTTCATTGATGAATCCTGTTTTTTGATCTTGGCAATTTCATAAATCTGCTTGAGGGTTACTGCGCCTGTGACCTCGTGGCCTATGAGGAGGGGTTTAACAAAGGACAATCAAAAGATCATTTGGATCATTCTTTGTCACTTCTTTGGTGCAAGTCCAGGGTATCAAATTTTTTAGCTTAGTGTGCCCTTCTTCTTAAAAGGGAACCTCCCCTGTGACACACATCTGTGATGCATTTTCTAAAATTTTTTGCAGATGACACGAATAGAGCATCAACAAATGGCAGCTGCCAGAAATTTGAAGTGGCTGTAACACCATTTTTTGGAAAACGACAAAAACAAATCGCTGCACTCAGTCCACACTGTCAAGACCTCGAGCCAATATTCTCCCAGTACAGCCCTCGCACTTGGTTAATAAGATATATTTACAGTCAAATCTTACCTGGTTTTTGGGCTCCCTTTTCTAATCCTGCAGCCGCTTTTAGAAAATGAGAGACTGGAGGAGAAGTCATTTCAAAGCTAAATGTGCGATCACCCTACAGTACAAAACACGTAATCATAAAGTTTTGTAAGTTTGATAGCTTTACTACATGCTAAGTTGCTCATGATTACATCAATGTAGTGTGTCCACAAGCTCACAAACCAATGACACACTGATCAATCATTCTGTTAACCAATTAATCATCTGAACAATAAATCACTCAATCAGTCAGCTTAGTTCTAGTTGGTCAATCAATAATTCAAATAAGAAATGAAAACATCATAACTGCAGTTAAACATAAAACCTTAACTACAAAACATTTTCAAATACCATAAAATTCCGGTTATAAGCCCCCCCCCCTGCTAATAAACCCCCACTGGTTATAGGCCAATCTACTTGGAAACAAAAATATTCATCAGGTTATAGGCCCCCCTGGATATTAGCCCTCTCTAGTTTTCCTCGTTTTCTTCAACTATGATGTCATATTAACTGATAATTAAGTGCAGGAAGCCTCACCGCCATGAACTAGACATTGAAATTTTTAACAATGACGACAAAGATGCACTCTAAAGCCAGCTTAAGTAGCTCTTGATTGTTAAACAAATTCTCTTTGTCAGCACCTAGGGATATATATAGAGAACAGCATGGAGAATGCACGCTCTGATGTTAAGGCCTCAAGTGTCCCTTGCAGTGTGAATTTGAGCTGATTCTCGGATGAAGAAAAAAAACTTACAGGCAACTCAAAGAAACGTCGAAACATTGGAATAGTAACTTCTTTTCTGAATCAAGAAGGCTGGGTAAATTTAAGAAGAAAAATCCTCAATCAAGGATTTGTGTCCAATTTAAACAACTTGACTTTAGAATAAGACAGCAGTCTGTCACAGATTTTAACAACACTAAGCCTAGGTTTACACTAGAGGAGAGTTTTTCGGATTCGTAAAGGTTTCCAGATTCATCAATTTTGGAGTATTCGGATTCGTAGGCGTTTACACTGAAAGGATATTCGGATTCCTGACCGTTTACACACAATGACAACTCCGGGAACATTCGAAATGGAATGGTTACCAAGCCGAGTGTTGTTTCGTCGTTCGATCAACAAAGTCAAAATATGCCTCCCAAAAAAAGGTTAGAGTAGATCCAGATGTCACTGAGGCAAATTTGAGTTGGACAGATGCCAAACCATCTACGTCGACGGCGATTAAATGTGGCTGACGTTAAACTTCCTTGCAATAATAACTTGCGTTTCGTCAGATATACTGCGGTACACATGATTTTATTTATCGCCTCAACCTGCAACTAGATTAGGCAACTGGAGACCGCCAGCAATGTTAGCACCGGATCCTCCATTTTGGTTTCACCGCAAACTCAAAAGATTGCAGGCGGAAATAATATCCGGATTCAAAAGTTATCGGATTCAAAGTTCCCACTTTAAATTCCGGATTCAAAATCTCCGGAGACACGACCAAACCGGGGAGGTTTTATTTCGGATTCGTCCACTTTCGTGTAAACGGCAAAATCAACCCGGTAACAAAACGTTTCGGATTCATCATGAATCCGGAACTATTTCCTCTAGTGTAAACCTAGTCTAAAGCATTAGCCAGAAGCCAGAAATAGCTGCCAGCGAGAGGTGTAACAGACTGATTAAACTCGATATTTACCTTGTAAGAGATGATCGTAGGAATTGGAATTCCAGTGATAATGTGTTTGGTTCTTTCGTTAAACTCTTTGCAAAACTGCGCTATGTTCACTCCTCGCTGTTAATCCAAACCAGAAACGAAACTCAGCTTTACATGATAACAGTGAAAAAAGGAGAAAATAAAGCAACAGAAGACTATTTACCTGCCCAAGTGAAGGACCTAACGGGGGAGAAGGAGATGCTTTTCCTGCGGCAATATATGTTCGTAGAACCCCACTCAATTGTTTGGCCGCCATTTTGAATGTAGATGCAGACATTCCCAGGTTACTTTGCGCGTGTTAACCTCGGTGATGTGATGTAACCATTAATCTGGGAAACAGGGGCTTCCCCTCTCTCAGTTTCTTCCTTTTTCAAATTTTGATTTTTTTAAATAATTGTTTGACACCCTCCTAAAAAAATCGAGTCTACGGAGGTTAGCTTTCTAAGCCTTGATCAAGCTGGAATGGCAATTTTAAACTAGATACGAGAAGAAATATTTTGTTTTTTTGCTCCAATTGTTGTCTTGAAGAGATACAATTCACTGTCTTTTTGTGGAATCAAAACAGTTGGCCTCGTGACTTCTAACGAGAGGGTTATTCCTTTTCAGTTTCGCTTTCAAGAAGGCGTCATGTTTCGCAATTTTCTTTAAACAAACTTCAAATTATAGAAGCGGTTAAGTGATGTCGAGGGTTTGAAAAAGATTCCCAGAAGATCATCTCAATTCTGGAATTGTGTACCAGAAGTTTGACTGCCTTCAAGGTTTGATAGCGTAATATGCCGGTTTCATAGGAAAACATTTCTGAAATTGAGATTTTTCTAGTAATGCTCTACTCCTAAGGAGAAATTCACTCTTTATCGAATCTCTTTGTTAAGACAAAGTGAAAGATTCTCCTAAAGTAATCCACGTGGGGGTTCCCCTCAAATCCTGTAAATATTTCTTAATCGAGACAAAAAGGAGTTACTTTCGATTCCTAACCACGTCCACATAGCAAGCAAGAGCAAACTCCGGCGACCAGAAATGGAGTTTCAGTGTGATGAAACTGCAAAGAAAAAAATATCTGCCCTTGAGCTTGGAAGTAAACTCGGGATTATTGGAAACCAAACTGATGTTTCACAATTGATCCACAATTCCCTCAGACCACCAGCAGCTGGCGAATCTCTATCAAAGACAGTAAAAGAATGGCAACAAGAACTTCTCGCTTATCTCAAGATTGTATCCCCTACGCCAACAGTGAGCAAATCTAGCTTTCGCGACGCTAGAAAGCTTTTTGGGGAAAACTTAAAAAAAAAAGTGACACTGCGGAAGTCTGGCCACCTTGGGGCTTACGAAGAAATATCTCTCCTTCAGTTCGATCCGAACTTTACCTCTTCTGAGGTTATCTGCCGTCATCCGTCTTGTTCGATCAATAATTCAGAGGCAGCGAAAATTGGCAGCAAAAGAGATCTTTTCCTTTGTACAACTCATCAGCAAGCGTTGAGGGAAAATATTTCTGACCTCTTAGCAAAGAAGGAAATTGAACTCTCCACCAGTACAAAAAAGCCTGAACACGGTCACTTTGCCGGATACACCTCACTTATCGGTCTGCTGGAGGGAGCCTATCATGATGCGAAGAAATTTCAGACGCTAAGGGGAAAATCTCCGTTGATCCAAGAAGCAATTCTTAATGTTAGAAATTTCTTGATCATAACCAATTGCTTGTTAAACCCCAATGGTGACAACTTGGAAATTGCTCTGCCACCTGTTGTTCAAATCTTGCGTCTCATCCTCCAGAATCCTGATGCAACCAATCAGCTGGGAGTTGGCCTCATCTACATACTCCGCGAGGTCATAGAGATGATCCTTTTCTCTTTTGGTGTGATCTACACTTGGGTGGCACTTGCCCTCAGCAATCCTGGTGCTCAGATTGGGTTTGGAGTGGGGGCAATTTTGGGGGCAAGTGCTTTCTTCCTGGGACCTTGGAGTGGAGCACCTGGTGTGGCCATAGTAGGGACAGCTGGAGGTCTCATTGGCAATGGTGTTCACGGTTTGATTACTGGGGGACAACGACACCAAGAACTACAGCAATTCAGACAGAGATGGATGGAAGCTGGAGGTGATATACCAGGGAGTGGTCGACCAAACAACCAGTATCAAGTGTACTATTTTGAAGGGGATGTTGCTGGTGGACTAGATCTGTTTCCAGCAGATCTTTGAACCAAAAGAATTTGTTCAACCCTTTGACTGTCAACATCTGTCTTGAAAGTCTCCTTTTCATATATAAAAGATTTTCTTGTAAATTGATTTTAAAGAGGAGTTAGTGTTACGTCAAAATAACTTCCTCCAGTTGATATTTGTATCAATTCTTATCTCATTTTTCCTGAATAATGTATTTAAATTGGATGGAGAGGATACAAATTCATCTCTTCAAAAGATCAAAGGGTTATTGTAAGTATGCACAAACATCACTAGTCACCAGTTTGTGCCTGTTTTAGAGTCAATTAAGTTATAAAAAATAACTGAAGAATTCAAATAGCAAGAATGAACCCTAACCATCCATTTTAGGAAGTATTGATTGTTGTAGAGAGTAGCCATGAATAGAGAGTTTCTAGAAATTTTTAGGAAGCTTGATAATGCTATGTGGGTACTGGAGCAATCTGATGTAATAAATTGAAACTTTTTAGAACTTTTACAACTAGGGGATGCCTTAATGATGTAACACTATGAGAACAGTTATTTTGTAGGATTTAAGAACATTTCATATTGATGCCTTATTAATGCACATGAGCAGTCAGTCACCTAACAAAGTTAGCAGGTGTTATCAGCAAGGACTGACTGCTTGGAAAATCTAAATAGAGTTCTTGTGGTATACTGCTGTATTTTTCTGACAGTCAGGAGTTTCAGAGGAAATTTAAGAGGAAATTTTCACTGTGAGTTTGTATCAGCAGTGGCTGAAATTAATTTTATAGTGGATTATTTAGTTTAGGAGTCAATCCCTTGTAACACCTACCTCAAAAGTATGGTTAAAAAAAATTAATTGGTTTCATAGGGTAATTGTATAATTTAAAGTAATGTTCTTGTTGGCTACATTTTACAGTAACAGTTTCAGACTCACACAGTCTGTCGAAAATGGGCTAGCTGTTTTGCTTAGGAACACTGCATTAGATGCAGAAACTTGTAGAATTAAAGATGCTTTATCATTCACGTTTTTGAGAAATTTGTATGACCATAAAATCATCAGCAACAACAACACTTCCTGGTAGAAATGCCTTCTTGGCTTGCAAAAGAAGTTTTTTTACAGTCACAGCATCATCAGTGCCATTTTCTTCAATGTCACTAACTCTCTTATATCTTTGGCTAAAATGTGTGAGAACCAGTTTTTTGGCTTTGATTTTCCTCGCAAGCTGTCCAGCCATTTCTGTTGGGGAAAAACACAGCACTTAAAGACAAACAAAAAGAGAACCTTACCTATTCCATTCTTTGTCAAGAGCTTGTTATGCATGAGTTCACCTGTATCATATTACTGCTCTGGGATGAATTACTCCATGGAATATGATGCTAATTTGGTTTTTCAAATGTCTTTTTATATGTTTACATTTTTCCTTTCCCCTTCACTTTAGTCAACATAAATTCAGCAAGAGTAATTTTTTCAGGGTAAACTTTTTTCTGAGAGAGGTAACCTTTGAAAGTAAGCATATTTAACATTGGAGGTTCCCTGCAGAGCAAATTTTGGCAACAAGTGCTGAGTATTTTCCTAGTGAAAAAAAAAATGGCTATCATCTTTGATTTTAATGGAAGCAGAAGGATGAAGAGAGAAAGAAATTTGTACCAAAGGGGTGAGTGACAGTGAAAAAATAAGGAGGAGGTGAGGGTGGGGGAGGGAATCAGAAGTAGCTACCTGGTGTTGAATGACCATGATCTATGCACTGAGCCATTAATTCATTCTCAAGAGTAGCTTCATGAACAACAACATCTGCATCAAAAGCAATGTCTGTAATCCTTGAAGAGTCGCATGTATCACCAAGGATAACAACTTTACGACCAGGGCGTGGCAGACCCATTACATCTGTGGGCTGGATCAGACTACCGTCAGGAGCTGTTATTGTTTCACCATTCTTGATTTTTGCATAAAGAGGACCTGGAGGAATGCCCTTACGTTTTAAAATATTAGGGTCTAGTTTTCCAGGAAGCTGTTGCTCTTGAATTACAAAACCAAAACATGTAATACGATGTTTGAGGGGTGCTGCAGACACAGTTAATGTTCCTTCTCGGCAAACTTCCCATACACCACTGTCATTTGCAAGAATCATTCCTCCTTGGGTCTCGTTTGGGTGTAGACTGTCAAATCCAGACAATGAATGTGCCTGTTCCACATCATCTCCTGGCAGAGCAGGACCTGCTCAAAATATTTTAAAATATTGGTCATTCAGTTCAGTAAATAAAAGAATTACACTAAAATTAATCACTCTTTTATTTTCTATGTTTCAAGTTTCTCTGACCCCTTAGGACATGTTATTCTTGCCCTGATAGCCATTGGTGATAAAACTTTGGTCTTGGCTTTGTGATGCTCAAATGAAACATGCTGTAATTTTGAGCCACTTTTGGCAAAAATCATTAAAACAAATAATGAACAAATATTCAAAGCGAAAATCATAAAAAAAATCAACCTGAATCAAAACACTGGAGCTCGGTCACTGAGTAGCTAAAGCCCAACAATGATTGTGACAATTCCAGTGACAGTCTGATATACTTCCTCAAGCCAACGGGTCCGTAGATTTCGATGGGCTGTTTATTTTCAGCGCAATTTAATCCTATTGTGCAAAGAAGACCAGGTAAACCAAAGAGGTGATCTCCATGAAGATGAGTGATAAAAATCTTGTTAATTCTTCCCGGTTTAAGTGTACTTTTCATTAGTTGAATCTGAGTCCCTTCCCCGCAGTCGAACATCCAACAGCCTGTCTCATGCCGAAGAACGGTGCACGAAGCTCCTCTGTCGGGAGATGGATAACATGACCCTGTGCCGAGGAAATGCAGCTCCATAGAGTTCACCAATATTTTCTTGATACGTTTTATTTCTTAGCCAGGCGTTAGCGTGACATGTTGTCCATTCTCTCACGGTGAAATACCCATGATCCTTTACGAAAACGTCGCGAGGTCGCATCCAATCCAAGATGGACGAAAGGCCTACTTCCGAGGAAATAAAAAAGTTGAAAGTTGTCGAACTTAAGGCTCGCTTGTCATCGCTTGGACTGCACACTTCAGGTAAAGTAGAAGATAATCCATTAAAAATGTTTATTCTTTTATCTTATGTGACTTTTGAGGCTTTTTAGTGAGCATAATCGGTCTGCGTCTTTCCTAGCCTGATCGAATGTTTGATCGTGACCCACGTGCATTTATAACACTAAAATACGATTTAATAGTTTCTTTTTCTTTAAATTTTAATTTCAGGCCTGAAAGCTGAACTAGTGGCAAGACTCCAGAGTTATTTTGAGTCGGTAAGCTTTGACATGCGACGAGCTATTCACAAAAGTTACTTAATATCTTGGTACCGCTTGCAATTAAGTTTTAGGCAATAGGTCATGTTGACAGGAAGTATCATCTTCACTTGAAGCCGAATTCTGTAGATGTAGATTTTATGTCAGCTTAAACGCTCTGGTTTAGGTACCCGTGAGTTAGTCCAGTTTTTCTGCACTTGTAGTCGTCTGATTACAGAGTATGTATGTCCTGTCTTCCATGACGGCCTCCCCGTGTCCCTCTCCAATGAACTTGAAGAAATACAAAAGCGGGCTACGCGCATTATTTTTCCTCTTTGCTCATATAATGAGGCCTTGGCTGAATCAGGCCTGACTAAACTTTCAGATCACCGCCAGAAACTAGTTTATAAACTATTTAAGAATGTTTTACAGAATGAACAGAACAAGCTCCATGAACTTCTTCCTACTCGCAACACATGTTCCTTTAACCTAAGAAATATGCAGAAGTTTAAGCCAGTTTTTAAGACGAACAGGTTTTGTAATAGTTTCATTACCTTCAATGCCCTTAAGGCTTGAACGGTTTTATACCACCGTTTTTTTTTTTAGAACATATATTAAGTGTCCTTATTGCTGTTTTAATACAGTTAGTTTATTTAATGTAATTATCAATGTTTGAAACTTGTAAATAATCGTATAATTCAACTTTTGGTTGCAAATCGGTTATTAATAAACTGTCTATCTATCTATCTATCTATCTATTTGTAGTGTTTTGTGATATCTGATAACAGACAGATTGCTACGAAGCACTGTACTTCACGAAGTGCATTAACTGTAGAACCTCGCGAGAAATATTTTTCTCTTGAGGTTCTAGGTGTCTCACTATCTTAAATTTTTGTTGAACTGGTGGTCTGAGCATTTTGTGGTATGCAGTTTTGAGAAACAAGTTTTGTGCACAACTATATTTTTTCAATGATTATCACTGACATTAAAAGTGCAAGGTTTCGTGTTGTTCTTAAATCTTGCACCTGGGATCAAGCAATCAGGAGCTTGGCTTGACTATGCTGTATATCTTATAATGTGGGCAACAATATGTGTGCAAAACAGTGTTTTGTAATAAATAAATGCTCACACTTGTGACTGGATCTTCTGAAGTTGTATTGTTGGAAAATTTTGTTTGATGGTGCAGTGAATCTGTTGTACTGCTGTAGATAAATTTCAATTTATCAAGAAAACAAGTGATTTGTGTGATTTTAAAATCCGACAAACTGCTCTTTGCAGTGTCTGGATATTTTCATGAGGTTTTACAGACACTTGTTTGCCTATGAATAGCATTCTATATTTTGATGAACCATTAAATGAACTGGGTTATTTATACAGGATTTTATGTAGATGATCTGTGCTATCACTTCTTTTGTAAATAGTTTTGATTGTATTTCGTTTGTTTTTAGCTGCCACCTCCCCAGCCACCTCCAGCTGAAGAAAGCAGTGATCATGAAGGTCTGTTTTGGATAGCTTACTCTTGAAAAGTATTGTCAGCTTAACAAAATTTGTCCAGTCAACACTCACACTTTTGTTGACCTTGCAGCAGAGCCTGAAGTTTCCACTCAAGAAGTGATTCAACCCCAACCTACAGAGACTCACAGTGAAGAAAAAGATGTCAAACATGTGATGTTGCCAATTACAGATACTGACCTGCGAATGTATCCTTCTGATTCTGAACATTATCCAGTAATCATTAAAACAGAAGATGAGCATCGTGTATCTGGATCAGTCGTTCCTTTAGAGGAGAAGGCCCCTTAGGATTCTAAAGCAGTTGAAGATGATGGTTTGCCAGTTCCTCACGAACAACAAAGTTACTATGTGGGTGAAACAGTAGAAGAAGCCTTAGATCAACAGAGCACCCCAGACAGAAATATTGTAGGAAATATTCAGGACCAGGATAATTCACATACCCAAGTAGAAGTAACTCATACAACCTTGCTTGAACCAGAAAGTATTCATGAACAAATTCAAGATGACAAAATGCAAGAAGAGGATGAAACACCAGTTGAGCAAATTCAGCGAGAAACCATAGACATTCCAATATCTAGCCAGAATCAAATTGCATCAGAAAATGCTGCGCTTTCAAGAGGATTTGTACAAGAATCTGTACAAGGCAATGCCCAAGAGCAAGATGCTGAGTTTTATACACCAGAGGAGCAAGATATTCCACAGTCGCATCCTGCTACTGATGAGCTCCAGCAAGAATCGTACAAAGATGATGATCTCACAACCTCAGATTCTCATGAACCATGGGTTATGGTAGATTATCCCCCTGGTGAGGAACAGGACAGTTTTGTTAATCATGACCATAATGAACCTCCACAGGCTCAGCAAGAGATTGGGCGTGACAGCTTTGAACCAGAGACAGCAGAAGAAGAAAATGAATACCAGGATTATGCTGGTGATCAGAGGATTGACACGGAGGACCTTGATGATGAACAACCAGAGCAGCGTGTAGAGGTGTGTACGGCAACGTGGTTACCCTGTTTCCGTCGTTTAAGCGGGTTACCACCGCGCCCAACTTATTGAT